GTGGCCAGCGGGGTGGACTCGGATGGAAGGCGCCTGACGCGTGGTTCTGGCTTCTGATTGGCCAATAAAGCCTGTTCTGTTGTACCAGTCTTTTTCCTATTAGGGCTCGGGTATTCTACAGCAGCGACGTATTTAGGCGCAGACGTATTGGATCTCGCTGGCCTCAGACTATCGTCTGTCTGTTTGTGTTCGAATGGCATTCGAGAATGTTATGCAGTCAACCCCAGACAAATATGAATACGAAGCGGTATACGTATAGCGGCGTAGCGACCGTCAGATGGACGTCGCCTTAAGCTTGGTCCTGGCTTATGACAAGTCAATACAGCCCGTCCTATTGTACAAGTATTCGTCATATCGGGGATCGCCTATCCCACACAATGACCCTACTCGTGTATTGATTACTTACGTTGAATTTTATAAAACTATTTGCTAGATGCACGAATTTAAACACTAAATTATATCATAATTCATTGTAATTTAAGGAAAACTATTATAATGGCACATCAGCAGTAAACAATGGCTATGATTGTAACATTCCATGAGCAAAATAGTTGTTGGTATCTGCAAAATTTGATTGGATTACGGTTTCCAAACCCATGAGAATAGAAAAATCAATTTTTGACTTAATTAATCAAATGTTTTGTATTAGCGGAATTATGAGCAATTTAAAGCAAATGTGGAACTCCTTGTAACGTGCGAGCAGGGCTCTGACCTAGGAGAAGAGAAAGACTAATGACGAGTCCGAGCGAGACATGCAATCCAGACGACCACGAGGAACTAAATGCGAGAAGGAGAGAGGATACGACTAGGTGACTTTATTCGGGACACGGTTACAAGACGAATAGGTGAGAAAGAGCGCAAACTTGGCGATAGAGTTCGTACGACAGTGGATGATCCATACACTAGTTATTGGGCAGGCCAGGCTTGAACAGAGCTCACTGTCATGGCGTATGGCGTGCGTGACATCCTCAACAATCGAATTTTTTGCAATTTCTGCATCCAAAAAGCACATAATAGAAACAGGGCTTTTATTAATGCAAAATGTATCCTTCTTAACTCATTCTGTAATATGACCAACATACATCAATATTTAACCATGAATTAACTTAATCTACACTGTCAGCCATCGGATGTGTCGCTCAGTTTTGCCTACGAAAGCAATGATCTATGGATCTCAACGGTAACATCAGAAAACGTGTGCCGCTTAAAAAAACCAACGAATGTAAAAACGTGTATATGGAAAGTAATTGTTCTTCTGCTTAACTTCTCCAAGGACGATAAAGGTTTCACAGTTTTTGTGCAACAAGTTGCTTCCACAACCCATTATAGCAAGCGGATTTTGTAGTGCTAAATAGACAGTTCCACCCAAATTAACAATGAAACACATTTACAAAACCTAGAATTTTAGAATTTTTGGATATGCGAGAAGCTCGGTGTGGAAAATTTTACCTAATGCAGCCACATTATGGTTATTATGTCCTTAAATAGACAATAGGGCAATTCGATAGAAATATAATTTTGTCATTTTTTTTTGAGAGGAAATCTTAAAGATAATGTCTTAACACAAAAACACTGAAATTTTACGCTGGACGATGACTGATTTCTCAGCTGCCTAGCTACATTGTAACAATATATTACATAAATAAGGGGGCAGAATTTCGCATCTTGGAAAGCTGCTTACATTTTAAAGATAAGTCTGAATTACTAGACTAGACTAGTTTGTAATTTCCTTTAGGTAAATGCATGCAACGATTGAGCTAATGGGTGAATTATGTATGTAGACTAGCATTTTTAAACAAAGAAAGGATAATTCCATTCACTATATCTGGAATTACTGAGTCCTGCCCTTAATCAGCCAATAAACTTTATAGTTAGCTTCATCCGCCTTTTTAGTTCGATTGCTCATTGTTATTTACCGTACCCTTAACTTCTGACGTCGATTATTCCCGGTAAATTTCTGTAACCTATTCATTGTCTTTGTATTGCTGTAAACAGAGTCGCTTTAATGTCGAAACTTCGTCGGGTTTATTTTCAAAGGTTTATATTCCAATAACTAATTTTATCCTCCTTTTGTGGCCTTATTTATCGATTAAATGTTAGCGAATCCCAGTTTAATTTTTTTATTAATTTTTTTGGATAAGGCTCACAGTAGATGCTTCTTTATTTAACAAATCAAGTTACTAATGTACGCATCTATTTGTCATTGTTGTACTCTCACAATACATCTGATTTTCTTGGAATGCTTGAGTTATTACTAACAATCTTTATTTTCAGGGTTTTTTTTAAGTGAATCCGTACATTAATGTCAAAGGTGATTGTTTATGAACTGCCGTTTATCATCCGCTTAGCTTTCGCCATTGGTTCTGGGTATTTAGTTTCAGTTCGTTAGTATCGACAAACTTCCACACCTTGCCTAACTTTTCACCCCTTTTTTTATTTCAAGTACTCAGTAGTCCTTAGAGCAAAGATTGTTCTTTATTTTTATTAATGCGTGTTCCGGTTGTTCTGTACTTATGTGGATTCGGTCCTTTTTGTCACCCTTTTCAGTCACTGCTCTTTCTTTTTCTGTATTTGCTCCATTTGGGACTTCAAGAGTCCAAGTTGTAGTTATTAAATTTACTAGTCCGAAATTTCTGTTAAAATAGGTCTCTTCTTTGTTGACATCATGTTTCATTGAGTTTAAACCCACCACTTTCCCCTTATCGGTCACATCCCAAGTGCAATACCAGCCGTTTTAGTAGAATACACCGACTAGAATTGTGCTGCCGCCTCTTACTGATAATGAACACATTTTGAAGCGCAAAATCGTGGACGCTACTTATTGGGCATTAATCGATCAATGCTGTTAATTTTCTTTTCAATTGTTTGACTTAGTAATAAGGCGTATAATCGTTTATCACCTAATAAATGTAGATTTTGGTCACATTAACTACAGTGAACTCCAAACAATCGTATTACTATGGGCTAGTAGATCTCAAGGTTTCTCGTTTTCGTAAAATCTGTAATATACACAAATGGCACACAATGGGCGAATGGGATCACCAGCTTTATTTTTGTGATGTTGGCTTTTTTAATCACGCAACTTTGCCATCTACCGACGGGTGAGAAGTTCTTACGTTTTTGATTGCTCTAATCATATAATAATTTCACAGCACAGACCTCAGTAAACAAATTTGAATCAAATGAGTTTTTGTAATATCCTTCAGACAAACGTTATTTTAGGGGCCTCGCTTTTTTCGGTTTTGCTGATTGATGCCTCTTGAGCTGTAAATCAAGGTGTTTTAAGCTTTTTGTAAGTAAATCGTTCTGATTCTTCCCTGTAGGACCGCCACTGATTATGCGGTTTCTTTTGCTTGGCAAAATGCTATCGTGATTGTGAAGGCCGTCACTTTGCAAACCAACAAAAAATTTCACCCTACTACCCGCCTCGAGATTCGTCACAATTTTGGCTTTTTGATCATAATTTTCTGTATGATTCGCTCTAGGCTTGGACTTATCGTCTACATATCGGAACGAATTCTATCTTGAAGTTTCCCCTTTTTAGACAATGGAAAATAAATCGATGTCTTCGAAGCTTCAACAGCGAATACAAGTAGCTCAAGCGGAGAGACGCTTTTATGAAGCACATCAGCTCTACAAAACAGTCTACTTCCAATGTTCATTACGAAAAAACTACTCCAAAGCCGTTGAGAGTTTGCTGGAGGGAACCAAATTCCTCTTTGAAAATCAACAGTGGGAAAGCGGTAGTGATTTAGCCTGTCTTTTCGCCGATGCTCTTTTGAAAAGTGGTCAGAAATTGACCGACGGTCATCTGAATGATTTGTGCCAGCTAATTGCTGCCATGCCATCAACTTGTGTGGATCGGGGCAAGTTTATTCAAAAGTGCCTCATGCTCCTCTCAAGTAACGAGGCATTACTGTGCACCTTTAATGAGTTTCTCGGAAGGCAGCTTCTACAGGAGGGCTCTCTACCCCAGGCACGAAACCGAATTATGATGGGTGGCAATGGTTTTAAAGTTGGCTGTTTCCTCATTGAAATGCACCAGCGTTATGGACTTGTCTCTGAAATCGACCTTTTTATTGCCCAGGCTGTGCTTCAATTTCTCTGCGTAAAAAAAACTTCAGTGGCCGCTCTCACCTTCTATACTTACACGAGACGCCACCCCAAACTCGAACCTGGGCCTCCTTTCACCCAATTTCCCCTGCTCAATTTCGTGTGGCTCCTGATGCTGGCCATCGAAAGAAACTTGAGTCATGATGTGCTTTCATTTCTCTGCGCTCACTATCGTCCCCAAATCTCTCGGGATCCAAGTTATGCTGAGTACCTGGAAAAAATTAGCCAAGTCTACTTCGGCGTAAAGCCGCGCAACAATCCCTTTACAGGAATGCTATCTAATCTCGTAAGGATGCTGGGTGATGACCATGGTGGGGACGACGGTGATACTGCTGTTGGGGCAGGCTCACCCTCAACCTCCTCAAACACTATGCATGTTGATGAAATAGACTAGAGCGTGACTTTCTTATGGCGGTTGTTCGTGTGATATTACTTATTCGATTGGCGTTGAGTATGAACAGAGCAAATATATGAAAGCCAATACACGTTGCTCCATTTTCTTTTGCATGCCATCATCGTCTGAATGAATGTGAATGCGCTGAAACCTTTAGTTTTCGTTGCTGTGAGAGGAGATAGTGTTGTAATTCTTAAGTAGCAAATCGCACCGCTTGTGATGCATTGATTTGCTGACTACTTATTTTGTAGTAACTCGTTACACGGGGCTTTAGTAGTTAATAGTAAAGGCCCGACTTCATGATATCGATATCTATCTCTCCTCTTCTGTAACTTTAAATGGGTATTTTTAGCGAGTAAAACAAGTTAAAGCCACAAATTCGTTTTTTAAAGTTAGTTAAATTTTGGTTTATATTTCATAGAACTTATGATTCTGGTATCAGGAGCCTAATTGTCTCGATATTTTGATATGGGAGTCAAGGTCTGAGGACTCTACCCAATTAATGTGGAATGTGCTAACTCCAATTCACTTTGCATGTCGCAAGTGACACGGATTTGGCTTATCTATGTTCCTAGAACAAAAGTACTATCGTTTTGTGCACACCCTGTGTTGCCCCATCCAGGACTTAGCTTTCAATTAATGTACGTCTTGTAGGCTGGACGTTTGGCATAATTAGGGTTTCATGCAGAGTGACTTAACTACATCATACCGATACGGACCTCTAAGACACGCTGTCAAATGAGGATAAGGTTTTCGTATTTATGTCTTTTGGGCGGAGTGTGTACGTTGGTCTGCCCCATTTATAACACGGGTACGTGAATCGAACTCACTACAAATTCTCCAGTATCTTCAGACGCTTTTCTCAAGAGTAAATACCTGGCTGATCCGGATGTTCTAGCGTTTTTTGCTTCCCCTTGGATATCATTGTTAAGTTTGTCTAATATCGAATAAAAATGGTATTGACTGAGGATGAACACCGGCCTTCTGTTTAAGCGGCCAACACACTTTCGTCTTTAATTGTCGTGTTTCAAAAAGGATAGTGATTTGCGTGTGGTATCACGAAAATTTTTTCAAAGATTTACCAGCTTGGAACTAGATGTAATGAAAGAACTTGAATTTGAGAGTGCTTTACTTCTCAAGAGCGATTTTCAACCCGAGCGAAGGTCACTGGCATCACAGCAATCGACAGTGTATGTGAACATCGCAAAAAACACCGTATGCGACCACGCAATATTCCTAAGCTACGTAGCCAGATGCAGTATTCGGGTGTTGGCTACGTTGACGTGCAAGAAACGCCTCTTCTGGAATTAACGATGGCTGACAATCAAATATGGGTGCATTTGGCAGTGCTAAATAACAACAAATAAAGTGTATGTTGGCAAATTAATGGTTCCGACTACATCCCAAAAGTTGTCGCATCTGATGGTGATAGTCCTCGTTTGCTAAGATCCGAGGAAGTGTTGTGTTACGTACTTGCACCACCAATTCAGGCAACTCAAGAAGGTACAATTTTATATGTTAAGGTTTGCAGAGGTGCAGTAGATAAGACGTTCTTCTCGCCTACCACCGACTTGTAATGAGAGCTCGCAGGTAACATCTCATGGGGGTATTTAGTCAATTTTGCATATTGTCGCGGTAACGTATCTTTAGATATTCGCTTTTCCTAACGTGGGATCGAATGAATTGAAGGTGGTCGGGTGCGACATAGGCAAAGTTTGCTTTTCAAGGAAACGCGACTTTCTGCATTCTGGAGGACGAAAATTGAGTAAACATGTGGATTAATGAAAGGACAAGGTTCCAGTTTCAATTCTCAAACCGGTAACTTCATCTCGACACCACATGGCTAAAGTGCTTGGAGCTGTTGTCGTGTTCTTTGGTGACTGATAACCTGCAGTAGTAAAATAAGTAACCATTATTTCTAAACATTTTTTTTATTGGAACGCAGTTTTACGTCTTGTTGAACTTGCTGAGTTTCCAATTAAGTTAAACGCATTAGAAGACTGCGTCTTTTTATAGAACAGAATTCAGATATCCGTAGTATCTGACGCCCTTTGCAAGTGACTTCAAATTTCCTGGATGGATGTGGATAAGCCGTTCATTTTAGTTATGACTACACGGAGAATTTCAGTCTCCCGAGTATGCAAGCCAAAACCTGGATGACCACAATGCCTGTCACATGTTTTTTTGGAATTGATCTGTTCCCAAATAAAACGGACAGGCCCTTCCGATTGTTGAGTTTTTGTGGTGGTACCATCCAAAGATGATTGTCTTGAGGTTTGTGATTGCAGTCCTGTGTAGTTTAAGGAGTTGAACGTCGAGGACCGAACGTCAAAACCTTATACAAAGTTTTTCTTATTTTAACTTTGATTCTAGATTGTGGCGATTAACTCCTGTAAGTCAATTAGTCGCCATAAAATGGTATCGAAAAACCTGTCATATCCGTCTATTAATGCAATAAACGCATAAAATAAAAATCTGTAAAATTTCTGCCGATTTTGTGAGGACGTGAATATCGGTCTTGGCAACGTTATAAAAAAATCTACTGAAATTTTATTAGTCTACAATCTCACGATGCACTCTCCTAACGCCTTTCATTCCCCCATTTTTTTATTGGCTGGTTCTCTATGAGCTAAGCACGACTGCTACCCTCCCATTGGTCACCTACTAACATGCTGTTTTAGTCTGCTACCTTTAGCCAATTACAAACGTGCTTCTTTTCAATTGGCTAATTTAGGCCGGCATGGCTTCCGAGCTCAATCTAATTCCTCCTTGGCGTGCACGTTTCCTGGTTGGCGCATAGGGTTACGTCTTCCTGTGGAAATAATGTCAGTCAAAAGTGGTCGGCCACCGCCTCGGCCCATGGACGGTACCATCGGTAGTCCTCACACGCCAAATGCGCCCGATATGGGTCTTGGTCTGCAAGCTATTTATCGCGCCTGCTATCGTCTCTACCCGGACCAGCCAAGCCCTCTTCAAGTTACGGCTCTGCGAAAATTCTGGATGGGTGGTCCCGATCCGCTGGATTACATCTACATGTTTTCGAATGCTGGTTCGGCGGAAGCCCGCAGTCCAGCTCACTGGCACTACGTCACCAATGGACTCTCTGACCTCTACGGAGATGCAAGGTTGCACAAGTAAGAGACTTATTTTTTACGCAGTCCCTTTGTAACTTCGAATTTTTGGTGAAAATGTGTGTGCTAACGTGCGCCGACTAATTGCGCTCGGTCACTTTTTTTCGCTCTTCAAGGTCTTCACAACCACTTCCCTAAGGAGTATTTTTTACTCTCCAGTTAGTCAATAAGGCTTGATATACGAGTGGCATTCTTAGCATGTTACCCCGCCACCACTCTTGCCCACTCCACTGCTAACAGCTTTTCAAATTTGATCCAACACCATGCTAATTGACTCGCCCAGTTTTAGCTACTTTTTCTAAGCTGTTGCTTCTGCTCGCGGTCCAAGGTCGTGAAGTTCACCAACAACGTTTTGTGCGCAACTCCTTGGATGAGCAGCAAGCAGTGCTGATTGCAATGGAGCTTCCTTGGCCTCTAGTGTTTTAATGCTTTAAAATAATTAAGTTTTTGTTGTTTACCTAGGCATCCGTTACGTTAGTGCGGCTTTTGACCATGAACTCAAGACAATGGCTAAAATCGACCCCTAGGGGTTGTTCAATGCTCTAATAAGGTTCCTTTACCGCTCATGACATCACTATCTTAATGACTGCTTTTGTTGGATCCATCTCGCAAATACCAAGATCGCTTTCATTTAATAGTGTCACCCATACTTTAATAAATTCCACCACACATTTCTACATGCAAAAGCAAAGCAACCGCTTCCTGCTTATCGCTCCTCTCACTCGATCTCACCGAATTCTTTTCGCTGTGCGGTCGATCGGCCACACACTCCGACCTACGTCGTCTGTGACGACTGACTGGGAGGGTCGTTGCACGCGGCGGTTTGCCTGTGTGGCGATCGCACAATCCGCTCGCCCCACCACGTTGATTTCATCCCTCCCCAGCACAAACGCTTGCGCCTCAGTAGCACTAACCGACCACTCCCCATCATCTCCCTTGTCCATTTAAGTTGCCACTCTTAACTAATTAATTTCGGCATTTCTTTCCCGACACATGCCTATCTTTTCGCCCTTACTCCTCAGAAGGATTCGTTTTAAAACATTTTTCATGTGTTGTTTTGACGATTTTCGGTTCCGTTGCTTTTCCTTTGGAATTTCTATACCTGTTATCGCTTGAGCCTGTGTGACTTGCTGGGTTAGAGTAGCAGTCGTAGCTTATTGCGCCCTCAGCTCTGTTGATGAGCACTCAGCGATTTTCCTGATAGCCGTCTCGTGCTGATTCGTAAATCAGGTCCGCCTTGATTTGGCTCCTATCGGTGGACTTGCTGCCGAACTTTTACAATATTTTCCACTGAATTGTCAGCGCCGTCTATTCCCGGCTTAATGACTGCTTAACCGCAACGGCAAATATATGTTTTGCTTGTTCGTGCTTTGCATCCCATCGTTGTTCATGCATTCACCTTCGCACGCAACGTGCCAACGATGCGGCATTTTCCCATCAATGACAGAAAAATGTGAAGTTGCGCTGTGCATGTGTGACTCAGATTTTTCCCCCAACAGCAAGGATTGTGGCCATGTGCAGCCAACTTGGCCGGACAACTTACTGCCGCCCTGCCGGTAGGGCGCTTTTGATTGTGCAAGACTTTGACAGCTGATGCTCTTTGTTGCACGGCCTTTCGCGCACCTTCTATCGCCTCTCGCACGTGTGTGTGTGTGTGTGCGTGTTTGTGCACTGGTAATTTGGGATGTCGTGGACCAGGAACCAAATCCTTTAGGCAGACCAATTTCTTCCTGTTTCTGTTGAAAACCCCTTCCCGGCTTCAAATTTTGGTGGACCACGTTCGCACCTTCTCTTTTACAGCGTCCACTTTGTGAAAAGCACTCACTGCCAAAAGTGCAAACAGTGTCATGCTTGGTGTAGTTCAATTTA